ATACGGGTAACATGTCATCTTACAACTTACCAAGCGTCACGCAATCGCTTTTCCTTGATCATCTTTCACCGTTATTTGCACTATTGTGGAATATTCCTTGGCCGTTTCTTGATCACAATCGTTCTTAATATAATTCCAAGCCTTCATATAGTCTTCTCACTTTGTGCGCAAGTTGCTTGGTGTGATGTCTGTACAGATTTTACCGACTTAATAAATGTAGATGTAGATGTAGATGAGATGTCACTATATGAATATTTAACATGTGCAATATCCAAGAAACAATTGACAGCTTTGCACGTGGCCCGTAAGTTTCATCTCTTTAACCGACATATGTTCATTTTGTCGACAAAAATGCGAACCGAGATCAAAACTGTTCATTCCACTTGATATATTTTCATCGTTCAGGGGTATATACACACTGTTTTCTCATATGTGCCGTATATTGTTATTGGCTTACAAGAGGAACCAGTCATTTTTATGAGGAAAGGGCCTATCCGCACTGGCAACAAAATTGTCTATTTAGACAAATTTTCTGTCATCACCCAACACTTTACAAGTGCGGATGGCTTGTCGCGACTTAACGATTTTTTGCCGAAGCGGACAAATTTTCAGTCGCATCGCCGACAAAATTTGTCCTGGGTAAAGCATGGTAAAATGTTCTAAATAAACAAAAGCGGGATGAACTTGGCTATCATTTGTCGTAAACGCTACCATTAGTGCGGTAAATGGACTGGGTTCAGTTCACCAAATAATTGCAGTAATTGTCTCGCAGATTTTACAACTTTAACCTAAGATGAATCCCGGTAATTGGAGTTTTAATCCATTGGCGAACTATAGCGACCAGTCATTTGAGCAGATCATGCGCTGGAATGTACCTTCCTATGAAGACCAACAAGGAAACAATTTTCATTCAGCCGGGGCAACATAAAACGATGGAGTAATTTTCCAGTGGCCGCTTCATCAGACTAATAATGAAGCTGTGGAAGTGGCCGCACAAGATCCAGAAGTTAGCCGAATTTGACAGCTTTTTTATAACTTTGACATTTTCAGTGCGGATGCAACAGAAGTGACAAAAATTTGTCATCACAAACTTTTTCCTTTAATTTTGTCATGACAGTTCTAGTTTTGTCTGCTAATGCGGATGGGCCCAAAAGCGAAGCGTTGCTATCGTGACTGGCCATTTGTTTACTTTTCTGGTGGTTTAATCTCTCATCTGTTTAGTTACTACGCAAATATTAAGAGCCAACGCCTATAAGAATCGAGTAAAACTGAAATATCGCGGCCAGAGCCGAAAATTTTTTTCCGCTGATATTTTTCCCATGGATAGGTATTGGTAAGTAACTAAACATGATGTCGTTTGTTTTCAGAAAGGCCGCCTTAATTTGGAGAAAACCGATAAAATCTATTTTTGCCGTCGGCGACTTCAAAACAGCCAGAATTTAAGGCGAAATGGGTCGTTCTCAAAACTGGCTTGCATGCAATAGGGAAGAAAGAGAGATAACATTTTCTGATGTGTCAGTTTATAGTGGGTTTTACTTCTTGACTGGTGGTAAATATTCCATTTGGCCGTAATCTGAATAGCGAACAATAATATTTTAGAACTGCTTTATTCCTTAATTTCGTGACAAGACAAAAAAACATCTTTCTTAATTCTCCACCGAGCTCAAAACTTACCATCTCTACTTTTCTGTCAAAAACATTACGCTATCGACATTGCTGATCCTAGCAGTAGGCGGGACGCGTGTCATTAGAACTTCGTAATAGACCTCGCTCACCGAAGAGTCTTAGTGACTCAGTGGTAGAGCATCGGAGCGCAAATCTGAAGGTCTGAGGTTCGATTCCTCACGGGGACTCAGAATTTTTTTGTCCCACACTCGTGACAAGACGAAAAAACATCTTTCTTAATTCTTCACCGAGCTCAAAAACATCTCTACTTTTCTGCTTTATTCCTAACCCAAAGAAATTTATAATATAGCCGAAAGTCGCAATTAAAATTTTAGGCATGTGCTATATCTTGGTTTACCTTGAGACTCAAGCCATAAGGTCTTTAAACATTGTACTAAAACGTACGTAAAAACTGGCTTGGGTAATTCAGTTTGCGCTTCACACGAATTCTTCGAAGTTGAACAAAATTTAGTTGAAATATGAGACATTTGAATATTTAACTTAATTAAACGACTTGCTATTTCTGAAAGGGAACGATAACCTTTTTCTTAGCCGAAACCTGACGTATTTCTTAAATACGCTATCGCAATACAAACGTTAAATTGAGACAAGGTTTATTGGCTTTTTGAATGAATATGATTGATGTTGCAACCCTCTAAATTAGTTACAACAGAGTAATAAATTGAGGAGTTAAACCGATAAGGAGTGGCGTTGCGTGACAAGGAGCAAAATCCTTCTGACCGCTCCGAGTGACCGAAAAAATAGATTGTTTTATTGAAAGAGCAAAAAACAGCATTGTTTATAAATCTCTTAGACTTTTCGACCATTATATCTCTTTGTATCGTAACGATTAAATACTTTTAAAAAGATATAGTGTGGCTGGTAATATAATTTTACCACAGTCAGTTTTTGACATCTGCGTTAATAAATTAAATATAAACTTAGTGAACTGAAAACACGAAAACTGGTTCAAGCTTCTTAAGAATTTTGGAAAATACTTGTTCATTTCTATCGATTGTGGGAGGCCAGTGTGGTCACGACAGAAGAGACAGGAACTGAGCAAAGGAATGTTTTCCATTACTTAGCTGTCAGCGGGATGTACCGGCCACAAGGCGATGTTTGCGTTTCACAGTATAGATAGTGAAGTTGAGTTGATTCTGGCGAGAGCATCCATCTCCTTCTCTCCCCAAAATATTGACCAGATGACAGTACGTCCAGCACATAGAGCATCGCTAGGTATTGGATGGTCACGTCGAGTTCCGGACAAGTGCAAAGTGCCTTCAATACTGTCTCATCATAGCGAGGATATCAGCAAAAGGTCAAAAGCAGATAGAGGTTTAAGCAAAGCGGGCTCCTATGCAGTATTACAATAAACTGGAGTTTTTCTTGCTGTTGGCTCAGATTTGTACCCTTTAAAAAGTGCATTTTATCTCAGTGCGAGGACAGACACTGAGCAACTGAAAGCACTTCACATATTTGAAAGAGTAATGTTCTGGAGCATTTAGAAATGGCCAGTTTGCCTGAGCGAAAAAGTGGGAGGCTAGCTTTGGGGATGAGTATTTTCTTTGTTGGAACGTACAGAAACTTTACGTAACGTGTTGGTCAATGTTTTTATGAAGATACACTCTATACGACCTTCAGGTTGTTATGATACTGGTCACGTGGTTAGAACGTTCGAATTTTTTTTTAAAGACGGCTATAAAATTACATTTTTCCTCGCTAGTGAAGCATATTTTATTTCATGTGTTGACTTAGGCAAATAAAAGGTGATTATTTATGGCTACCTGATATTATCTGTGCAGGTGCAAGTTTCGAAGCAATCCAGCATTCCAGACCATTGCAGAGCATACGCCCTGAGTGATCCAAAGGAAAAGGATTATCAGATGACCTGTCCACGTGATCATCTAGAAACCTGCGATCGTTGTGAGTTGCTCGCGTCTGTTTTGAATGATGTACACGACGCTCTTGAGAAGAGTTGGCCTTTATGGAAGGTCAAGCTAAGCAAAACATCTTGGCATGGAAAGCACACCTACTCCGATGTGTTAATCAGGATGAAGCTCCACTAGAGGTGATTAATGCTCTCGATGAAAGTTCAGTGCTTCTTGTACAGGACTGGGCCATGAAGTTTCTACCAAGAAAGTTCAGGGAAAGCCAAAGTGATTGGTTCGCAAGAGAGGCATGTCCTGGCACAATACTGTAGTTACTCGTCGGGCACAAAACAAAGATTTGCAGATGATGACATTTGTACACGCTTTCCAAACCTGTAACCAAGACAGCTGCGCGGTGCTGTCAATTATGAAAAATTTCATTGGAGAGCTGAAGTCACACTTGCCTCAACTGAAATCTGTCTTTTTTAGGCAAGACAATGCTGGCTGCTACCATTGTGGAGCTACTATAATGGGAGCCAGCTTTGCAAGTCGCTGTCATGGGGTTTCCGTGAAACGCCTGGACTTCTCGGACCCACAGGGTGGTAAAGGGCCTTGTGACAGAAAGGCTGCGTCACTTAAATCGCACATGAGAGTCCACCTTAGCCAAAGGTCTAACATGGAGACTTACAAGGAATGGTAGACGCTATTCAGTCATCAAGGGGTCTTCCTGGAGTCGATGTTACATTAAGCAGCTCCTCGCAAAGCTAAAAACCCTCTCTGAATATGAAGATGGCAGGTGTGAGTTTGATTTCTAATATTGAATACAACGACGGAAGCCTGAGGGTTTGGAAGGCGTATGGAATAAGACCTGGTAAACGCATATGACTTTCAGAGCTTAATACTCCGCAGGTGGTGCAGGTTCCAGATCCTGTGAAATGTGATGGAGAGAGAATGCCAAATGCACACTTCATTCATGGGTGACACCTCGACTGTTCCTCTTATTTCCTGTCCGGAGGAAGGATGTGTGAAAACGTATCAAAGATTTTCCTCCTTACAGCACCATCTGGATCTTGGAAAATACGAACGCGCTTTAGAGAATGAGACATTTCTTGACAGAGCAGTGCTCGCCTACGCAGACAGACTACAGGAACAGTTCTGTGGTATACCACAGATACAAGCTAGAAAGCCTCTAAGCCTCACAAATCACCCGTGTTTACCAATGGGATGGGCCCTGAAGTCTAGTCATGTTCGACGAACAAGATTTACAGAAAAGCAAAAAGATTACTTGAAAAGTAACTTCCGTATTGGAGAGACGACTGGCCAGAAAGCGGATGCAGCGTCTGTAGCCAAGTCCATGATGACTGCTAGGGACAGCAGTGGAAACCGCCTTTTTACAAGTTCTGAATTTCTGACGGGCCAGAAAGTTTCAAGTTACGGCAAAAATCTGATAGAAAAATCAACTCAAGAGATTGTTTTCAATCGTTGTTTTTAATTTGGTGAAAAGTTTTTAATTTTGTAAGACCCCAGTTTTGTTTTCCTTTTTAATTCAAGAAAAATGGTATTACGAACATGTCTACAGTCGCAGACTAGAACACTGTTTAAAAACAAAACAAAATAAACAAAAAACAGTTATTTACGGCTTGATGGACAGTCGAAATTTGAAGAAAAGGATGCAAGAGAATTACAAAATGTTCACTTTAAGTGAAATCGAAAACAACGGAAACAGGTCCCTTCTTGCGTCGTTGTTTTTCTATTCCCGGTGGGAATAATTTTGTTCTGTCACGCAAATCTACAGCAACGCTACAACATAATTGAAGACAAACGTGCCCTTGACGACTGGAGCGTTTATCTGTAAATTATTTTGAACTTTATGAAAGCTTAAACTTTGAAAGTGTACAAGATGTAAAATTGGATCGAAAAGAAAGGATTAGTCGAGTCTAAAATTTCCGATTAAATGCTCGACTGCTGAAGTTCCTGGGTGAAGTTAGGTTTGCTGCTTCGAGTTCGTTGAGCATAATTTTGGGAAGAAGAAACAAGGATAACCAGGAAGCAAATTGCCCGCGACAAATTTTAAGTCAACTAGAAAAGGGCAAGACAGTATGGTTTTTTTTAACGCAAATCTGTTAAGCTCATGCGAGTTAAGTTTTCGGCAGTAGCGGCAAGCAGTCGTAAACACCAACAAACCGCTACTTAGGTCTCACATTTCAACCAAATTTTGTTCAACTTTGGAGAGTTCGTGTGAAGGGCAAACTAAATTACCCAAGCCAGTTTTTACGTACGTTTTAGTACAATGTTTAAAGACCTTATGACTTGAGTCTCAGGGTAAACCAAGGTGTAGCACATGCCTAAAATTTTAATCGCGACTTTCAGCTAAAATATAAATTTCTTTCGGTTAAGAATAAAGCAGTTCTAAAATATTATTGTTCGCTGTTCATATTACTGCTAAGTTGAATATTTACCACCAAACTAGAAGTAAAACCCTCTATGAACTGACGCATCGGAAAACATTCTATCTCTCTTCCTTCCTTTAGCATGCAAACGAAATTTTGAGAACGACCCATTTCGCCTTAAATTTTGGCTCTTCTGAAGTCGCCGACAGTAAAAATAGATTTTTTCGATTTTCTCCAAATTGAAGCGGCCTCTCTGAAAACAAACCACATCACGTTTAGTTACGTACTAATACCTATCCATGAGCAAAATATCAGTGAAAAAAAATTTCCACTCTGGCCGTTGGTTGCTGAATTCTTATAGGCATTTACTCTTAATATGTGAAAATCAAACCATATGAAGGCTTGAATTCGATGAAAAACGGTTGTGACCGCTTTGTGTACAACCAGGAGGCATTACAAACCAAATGCACTGGCCGCTTTGTTTAAAACAAAAGATGTCTATGACTATTTCACAATAGTGCAAATGATCGTGAAAGATGATGGTAACTAATAATTTGCTGTCTTGAAAGTTCACATAAACTGAATTCAATTGTACCTATATTCCATAAGTCCAAGATATCAATACAAACTTAAGCCATAACACGAATGAGCTAACTCCAAGAGCCCTTTGATCCATTCTATTTTTTCCTATAGATGGCGATTAAAAATGACATTTCGAAATCAGGGGTGAACATGACAGACCTCCCCTATAGTCAGTACTAAAATAAGATATGTCAAAACGTAAGCAACAATGTGTCCATTTGTTTCCTACCCGCGACAAACGTATGTGAACAGGATCCTAGTCTTTACCTGTAACGTTAATTATTAGTCACTAGACTAAAACATTCATCCCAATGCAAGCGAGCAAATGCACCCTAATGATAATCTGGCGGAGAACAGAAAAGCTACATCATATTTCAACTCAAATTCACAGAGCTTTTTTTTTTTTTTTTTCTTTTTTTTTTTTAAACAATTTTATTTACAAGACGATCATTTACACTACTTACAGTATTAATTACACTTACATTGTACTTGCTACTTACACTACTGATACTTATACTTACACTAAATTATGCATACACTACATTACGATACATGTATTACAATACTATTGTCATTAATTTAATTTACGGTTGGCGTGTTTACAAAGTTCTTTTCAATTAAAAGACAATCACACAGCTGGTAGACTCCCCCATAACAAACAATGAGATCAATCTTCCTGTCTACCAATGGAGCAACTTAATATTTCATAAAAATGTTTCCCATGAGCGATTAATAAAGGTACAAAGTACGAAGATTGCCTCAAATTAAAGTTAGCTCTGTATAAATCTCTAATCATTGTTAATTAAGGGAACAATTATTAATAAACGTTAGCAAAAATTCAAGACGTCAAAATAATAAATTGAAGACAAAAATGGCCACTAATACTTTCCACCAAAAAGTATACGAGCTACGATCTCATCAGTTGTCTCAAAACAATTGGGCAAATATAAATCATGCCTGATGAATATATCTTATAAGACGTTTTGGTGTGTGGTGTCTCTGAGTATTTTTACGAGTTGTGCCGTATTTTGACTAGCCTTACGTGCTCGTCAAAATATTGCAGGATATTTGTGCTCTTTTCACGCGTTATTTGTACTCTACTTTGTGCTGTGTGATAATAATAAAACATATTGTATCAAACAAGTTTGTTTAACTATAAATTGTTCCGAAAACCCTTTTGAAAAATAACTTTTTGGCATATAGGTCTTCGTCTTCGCTGTTTACAATACCACGATCGAAATAGATATTTTATATATTTCCATTTCTTTATTCAAAAATTATTTTACTTGGCTGAAAATTGCAAAAGAAATTATCATTTGAAAAAGAAATTGTTAGAGAAAAGAAATAAACTTACCTTATGGTTTTACTGCATGTCTTGTTGATATACCACATAAAGGATGTTAGTGGAATTAATCACAAGCTGTCGTACAACACGAGGTCAGATGGAAAGTTATCTACACTTTACTTGATCAAAAATAAACTGTCATACGAAACGACATTTTTTTTATATGTAGAATACGACTCAGCATATGTTGTATGACGAAACTGAAAGTTGGAGCGAAAAGTTCCTGATGAGCCAAAAGTTGGGCAAGTAGTTGTAGAGCGTCATTATCATCCAATATGTAAAACAGTATCCGATACACTCGAGTTAGAAAAAAAAAAAAAAACATATACTTGTGTGCGTACGGGGAAACGCTCTTGGCGCGTAGGATAATCGTAAACAACTGGGACCAGCTCTATTTCTTCCAATATTTTATTAGATATACATATATATATTGATTTGATTATTTGATTTGTCCAACTTTCAGATATACCACGCTCTGCGAACGCATCGAGCAGAGCAGTATACCGCAAGGATAGACTATAATAAAGATATATATATATATATAACAAAATGCCATCTAATTCAAACCCCACCGGTTCCTCCTTGTATCGCATTCAAGATAGACAAGTCCTCTAACATTCAGAAATTGAGCCTTTGTCTGGTTTGAAGTCAGTACTTCATGCATTTCTTTAAAGCCAAGAAAAAACAGAGAATTAAATAGAAAAGAATACAAAAACCTTTTTTCAGTGATAGGGGACTTTCGTGAATTCCCATTACAACCAAGACGGCCATAATACAGTTGTCATCTGATCATCTGAATACACGCAATATGTGTGCAGATGATGGAGCATTACTTCAGTTCAACGATAAAATTGACAAAAGTAAAAGTAGTGTCCTTTTAAAATTTGTGTCTTCAAGTGATGGGAATTTAAAGACAGTAGATATTTATTTAAGGTAGAATCGCATAATTGAATAAAATCTCGCATTCTGATTGGTCAACGAAGCGAAGTATTTAGGCTAGGTGATATTGCTTCGCATCTATGTAAACATAGCAACTATCCTCAAATTGTAACAAAGTTTTCTACAATGTCATTTAAAGTGTTTTCAAAACCATTTTCACCTTTTGAAGAGCCAAAAACAAACAAAAGCGTTTTTCAAAGTGAGCCAGAGGTTCTTCCCTGTTTTGAAATGAACTACAAATTCTTGGAGAGGCATAAAAAACCTCTTTCGCTCGCGAAAACGAGAAAGCGAGAAAATCCTGTGAACGCGGCCCATAAAATGGCAAGCAAAAGCTCAACCAAACAAGACGAAGAGGCGACAACGGAAGAAGTGACAGGGTCGATTGTCATATATATAGAAGAAGAAATAAATACCTTTAATCGCGATGTTAAACTTTCAGAGCTTTCGCTTGGACACTTCATTTCTTTCAGTTTTGCCACCAAATAGGTAAAAGGAGTAAATTATATTCCTTCTTTGGAAATTTGAAAAAAGATGTTAAAGATAAACGGCTTGTAAATTCAGTGAAATACCACTATTATCCTTAAGATAGTGTGAAGATTGTTTAAAAGTTTGAAAACAAATCTTAAAACAAGCGCAAGGTACAAATAAAGTTGTCGAAAATTCAAATGTGTACGATTGACCTTGTTTCTCATTCGCTAAGTCAATGACAGATTTGACAGTTGACTTTGAAATGGCTTTCTGGGGCGCGCGCTCAGGATAAAAACAAACAATATTATTACTGTTCTCTTTTTTTTTTTCTTATTTTTTTTCAGTTATGCGATTCAAGGAAATCCATTTCCTGGCCCGTTAATTCCGCGTTAAATTGCACTTGAAAACCGGTATCGCACTCATCGCTTCGTGATTTGTGCTATATCGGTTTTCGCGTACAATTTAACGTGGAATTCTCTCGTCAGGTAATGAATTTTCCTATAGAATCGCATAGCTAAGGGTAAACTCGCGGTCTGATTGGCTATCGAAGAAAGGGTATTTACCATGGAATTGCACTTGTGCATGAAGTGATATTGCCCGAATCGTGAAGCCATGAGTACGATATCGGTTTTTCAAGTGAAATTTAACGTGGAAATCACTCGTCAGGCAGTGAATTTTTCTATAGAATCGCCTCACTCAGAGGACTTACACAAAAAAACCATTCACTAATGGCCATTTATTAAGAGAAAATACTCTTTAACTTTATTGAACACTTATTTTCAGCTGTTTAAAGCCTAGATTAGTTCGCATCTTCTCTTAATGTGAATTAATCGCAAAACGGATCGCAAAATTGTCTCCGTCAAGTTTTTGGAAATATTTTCGCAAAGGGTTCTCTTGTTTTGGTTTAATTCTGCTAGGTTTCTTTTATATGGAATTTATGATTGGAGAAGGCCGCGTTTCTACATTTCTTTATATACCTTGACTGACACCTCCAAGGAACTTGTATTCAGCGATTCGGTTATAGGTGGCCGAGTTTGTAAACAACTTCTACTTTACAACTTCTGCACTAAATTTATACTAAGTTGCTGTTTTAATTTATGGGAAAGGCGGCACCTTAGGTAAGCTCTTTCTTCTCCAATTTTTCTGTTTGCCCTACTTTTATGCAACAACCTTTAAAGGCAATTTTCTCTGCTGTTCTCATAGGATTTTATATTTTGATGTCGTTAGACCGTTCTTTACAATTTTTATTTTGCTAATATTTTTTTCGTTATTCTGGAACTAAGGTAAGACAGTAAGAAAATTGAAAGTCGTTTCTGTAAATGGTAAAAAAATCGAAGGAAGTTACTTAGTATGCAAGAAAAGTTACACGCAGCCCAGCACGATTGGCTGTCGTAAGTTGATGGACATTTACTAAACTTTTCTAATACTTGGGATTATTGTTACCACCGAAAATACTGTTGTCTGGTCTTGCGAAACTGTATGTAACGCAGCTAGTCCTCCAAGAAGTTAATGAGGTGAAGTATGAAAAAAGGAGTGTTAAAGGAGTGTTGAGAAGAGTTGATTTTGCTCGATTTGCCTTCCCCTGTAATTTCCGAAAATCTTGTCGGTTGTGATGCTACCAGACCTAAAACCATGCACAATGGCTTTCTTTCCTCTGTGCTTGTCCTGAATCCCTTCAAGATAATTCTGGCCAGGATCTTCCCCACAAATAAGAGGAGTGAGTACGTGGTGGCTGCTGCACTCACTCCTATATTCTTCCTTCTTGTAAAGGTGACGATAAGGGAGTAAGATGCAGAATTGCAAAAAAACTTCCCAAATTTTAAGGCTTACTATTGTTATTGTTATTGTTATTATTATTATTATTATTATTATTATTATCATTATTATTATCATTATTACCGACTCTTTTCCTTTCCATCGCGCTCATAGGAGATCATCACCCTCTGTGGAGATGTCACGTAACGCATTATGTACCTCTTTATCACGGTTTTTACGCCGATTCCACAAAAACCAAGTGACTACACAAATAACTGCAGCTACCAAAGTGCATGATGTAGCAACTACAGTTGTCTGAGATGCTGAATTTTCTGGCTTTCCGTTCATGGAGGCGGGAGTAGGAGTTGCTGTGGGTAAATAATAAAAAAAAATGCAGCAACAAACAGGTTGTGTTTAGCAACAGCGCTTGTAGTTAAGAAGGACCCCTCTTCCCCTGCTTTTTTTCCCTTCTATTTAAAAAAATATATATCTAACCTATGTTCAAGACAGCCACTCCTGATTGGCTTCTTCCAATGCTATTATTTGCAATGCATTGATATTTTCCATAGTCTTCCATCTCTACTCTCATTATGAAAAGGTGGCTGCGATTGGTTCGCCCGTCAGGAATGACACGTGCTCTGGGGTCAGACTGTGAAGGGTATGTGGCATTGTCCTTTACCCAGTAAATTGTTGGCCTTGGGAGACCCCTAGCAGTGCAGCTTAAGGTAGCATTGGAACCAATCAGGACACTTTGGTTCTTTGGACCTTCAACGATCGTAGGTTTCTGGGCATCTGCAAATTGACACAGAAAGAATTGATATGAATGAATGGGACGTTATGAATTGTCTCATTGGTAATCTTTCTATGGGATGTCGGGGCCCAAGGCTTTTTTGCCGCTTGAAAGACCCGGTTTGAAGAGAACTAAACTTAAAGGGGAGTCTTGGTGATAAGAGGACTGAGGAGGTACAGTGACCGGGTGAAACTGAAATGAAAAATTTTAAATTTTGCATTTTACAGATAACACTGCTTATTTTCTAGCTCTCGATACTCTGGTGACACAGAGAGTTTTTACAATCTACGGAAATATCTCGCTTTCTTGGTGATGGGGGAGTTTCATCGGGAGACTGAGTTGACATGCAAATAGAAGACTTCGTGGAGTTTCAACTTTGAAATGATAAGGAAAACAAACAATAATGCATATTAATGACTAACCTGTACCTTTCGGGGTTAAGAAAGCTGGCAACGACAAATTTTTACCACCACTGTTTTTGGCCTCACATTGATATTTGCCAAAATCTTCTTTCTTCACTCTTGTAATAAACAACTGGCTGTGCATGGTTTTGTGGTTTGTTAATGAATGTGGATTGTTAATGAATGTAACCCTTGGGTTGAATTGTAAGGCAAATGAATCATTGTTTTTGATCCATGAGATGTTTGGTTTAGGAAGACCTGTGGCGGTGCATTTGAAAGTTACATTGGCTCCTATATCAGTGCTTTGGTTCCGAGGAACTCCAACTAACTCTGGCGCAGAACCTGGAGGGAAAACGTACATTGCAATAAATATCCCCTGTTATTACTGATATAATCTGGTAGGAAGCTTATTCAATAAGCAAATGTCGGCAGAAGAAGAAGATATTTTCATTATCACACTTTTGTGTCACACAAGAAGATAAATTGCATATGCAGGTACTAAGAAAGAACTATTTCAGGCCAACCCTCCTTGAGTATGAGCGTCTTCCTTTTTTCATTCTAATAATTACCATTACCTTTTTTTTGATTCACAAAATAATTCTTTTCTCATCTTCCGAAGAATATTTGGAATCATTAACTTATTGTATCTAAATTTACAAAGTCAGGCAGTTACACAAAGGAAAATGATAACGTGAGTTACACATTTGGCGATTTTGCACAAAACTTCCCCTAAAAAGTACAGGACTTCATTGTTTTCTTTCACCTATTCCCATACACTCGTTTCAACCCAAATACATAATTCATATAAATAGATATATATTGCTTCAGTATCGCCGGCACCGTATTCAGCGACCACCCCTGTGTGAAGCAGTCGGTTGCATTAGTGTTTGTTAGTTGCCAAAGTACCAATTTGTTTCCCTGTAATCACTGTAATTTTTACCTGTATCAAGCAGTTGCCTCTACTTAGCGGTCGCAGTCGACCTTTACTAAGTCCCAACGGCCTCTTTGTATTTCCTTCCACCCGTTTTTAATGGCCACTTATAGCCGAACCACCCGAATAAAATTAAGAATAATCCTTCAAATAACTTTTCATCCATGTCTCTCTCCCAAAATCGAAGTAAACAGTGTTTTTCAGCGAGATTCTGTACATAAAGTGGTCAATTATAACAGTGGCGTTAGTGGCGTTGTGTATGTTATGATTTTGGTTTTTCGCTTGTTTTTTTTTTTTTTTTTTTTTGCTATAATACCCCCTATCGGTGGAAACTGTATTAAGAGGTCAATCTACATTAAGCGGTCACACCACCGTTCCTAGTGAGTGGCCGCTTAATACGGGTTCGGCTGTATCAAGTAATAAGATATGCATTAGGACAGGTCGATCGAATTGCTCCTGATTCAAATTTAATCGTTATCTGAGTGAAGAATTTCGTTCTTTGTTTACTACGTTTCGAGTCTTGTCAGCCAATGGCCACACAACGGAATTTTCCTTTTGCAATAAATTATGTATTGGACTTTCCTGTTCATACATTCCAGGAGTTTCTGATTCCAGGAGGGGCTGATTATTTGAGACTCCTTATTCCTGAATGAAACATCTTCGACATACATCTTCGCATTATCAAAAACTGGATCTTTGGATAATGCAGTTCAAAAGTTTTCATGACTTAGCCATTATAGGTTATGGGTCATTATACTGTGTGCGCGCACGGAGACGAGCTACACCGGAAGCATTCTTGTACATTGTAACAATCCTTTGTTCTTACAAAATAAAGTTGGCAAGATTAATGTATAAATGTCCAAGGGCGTTTTTGATTCAACAACTATTCCACTATCATCGCATATCCAACAAGCGCGGGTGGACTAATTGTTTATTAAGGGTATTATAAGCCTGGTTTGCTTACCTTGAATCACTATTTCAAATGATTTCCTCGTGCAGTGGTTTCTGTAACCATTACCAGCTTGGCAGGTGTAGCGGCCAAATTTATCAACTGTCAGATTTTTAAGCACTAATGGACAGCTTAATTTACGTTTGTGTGCATGTATGTTTGAAGGCTGCCGGCACTTAGCTCCAGTTTCCTTATTCTGTGGATCGTACCACTCGATATAATTGACCCATCTATCGTGATATCCTTTATCCAGTGTTCTGGGCTCCGCTGTACAAGCCAGGGTAACGGAGGCACCAAAGGGTAATCTGTTGTTTTCTGGACTTGAAGATATGTCCACAACGGGTCTGACTGGGTTGGAGAAATTAAACGATAATTTAAAAAAATCAATAATATGCAATCTCTTTACAGCCTATCCGACGATGAGAGAGATTATTAATAAATCTATCTTATAAATTTAATAAGTGTAATTTACAAACTCTTTTCCGATCAAGAGTTATAATGCAGCCTTTAAATGTTAATTTTTAACTTTTATGTTCCACCTGAAAAAGGCCGAAACGTCGCGCGTGCATTTAAACGCTGGATTAGTCAAGAGTTTACCTACGTCCTTTCTTATCTACACATGCTAAACATTTTGATGAAGATACCTACATTCTCTAGATCCTCTGCCTAAGAGCTGTTTGTTTGGTAGCCATTTTACAGTTTCTGTACATACACACATTCATTTAATGTGCACACAAGGAAAAATTGGCATAAACATGCTCTTTAACTAGGACGTTTAAAAGAAGTTAACACTACTTACTCTTGAGTTTGGAATCGCATGTTTCACCTTTGACGAATGGAAGGATCCATAAAGCGCCAGTAAGAGTTGATAGTACTAAACATATTGACGCTTCTCGAAGCCAAAAGCTACTCATCATCATGACACGTTGACAAATTTGTTGTTTATATGTTTGAAGTGGCCTGCAAAAGGGATTGTTTATTAATAATTAAATAAGTTATTTTATAGAGGAACGTAGTAAATTGAGGCCATAAGTCGAACTAGGTTGTCATTAACTTATTGCACCTAAACTCAGGCAGTTACACAGAGGAAAATGAAAAAGTGAGTTACACATTTGGCGATTTTGCACAAATCTTCCGCTAAAAAGTATAGGACTTCATTGTTTTCTTTAACTTATTCCCATAAACTCGTTTCAACTCAAATACATAGTTCTTAAGAAAAATTTTACCATATACATGTGGTTTTAATTTTGCCTCTTAACTTCAGCTTTACCTTACACGTAGCATATATTTAAGATAGGTAAATTCGCCTTCTTTTTAAATTTTATTTTCTCCGCCCTAGAAGGACTACATCTGAAGGAAAAGACATCTTGGTCAGTTATTCGGCTCATGGAAAATGTAACTTCATTAGGCAAAAATGTACATGTTAACGGAGAGATATCCAGCCGCGTAACTGGTCCTTAAAGTGGACACGTGCCTAAGAACTCTCGTTTCTGGAAGATTGAATTTATCTCTCAACCTCGTTGAGAAATGTAAGAGGAGATGTTTTCAGTTGAGTGTCAAACGTGAGAATACCCGCCAGCATTGAAACTTAAGGATTCAGTGTCCATTCATTGAGATTAAAAAAGATCTGAATATTGACCAATATTGCCTTTTAAAACTGAGGTAGAAGTGAGGGAGAATTTTACTCATTATATGAGTCGTGTCGTCTGAAATAGTGACAGCGATATGCATGTTTTTATTTTTCCTGGAAGCAAAAAGTTGACCAGTTCAGTTTTTTTCCGTCATATGCATGCTTCCGTTTGGCGACCGTATTAACGAGATGACAATGGGAGTTGAAAGAATCATTTTTGTACATTTTCCAAATAGTTCATCGATAGCAAGAACAGCCAATTTGTTTCTTATAAATAGGCCACAAGCTTATCTCATTTTTAGCTCATTCATGCTGAAAGCAATGAATAGCTCATTTCATGCTGAAAGCAATGAAGGAAGTATTGTGGTAAAGCAGATGTTGGCGGAAGTTGTAGACCGTGGACGGAAGTTGTATTCCATAGACGGAAGTTGCACTGTGGACCGTGAACGGAAGTAGTCTCACATGCAACCCTTCCCCACTTAGTGAAAGCCAAAATTAATTTCGATGAAGCTCGTAGCGGGTTCATTTCAACACCACGCTGTTATTGTGACCGATCTTGTCGGCAAACAACGGAGGATTACAACGGATTAAACCTTAAACGATAGGTTTATTCCGCTACACGACTCATGGTCCTTAACAACTACAGTCGGGCATTACATGCACCACTGAGGAGAGTCTGGGTCCTAATACACCATATCCCTCCCCATTTAGATAGAAAACAATAACATTTAGTAGAATTAGAAACAAACCAAGAATTGGTCCAATAAACATAAACATGGACTGGCAACAAAGTCAACAATGTCTCTGAGATTTCAGTGTCTAGAGTTTAAGTATAATAGTCTTTGAGATAGCTTGGGGCCACTCTGTGTCTCTGGGACCTCCTAAGTGGAACTTCAGGCTCAACAACATTTGGTTCCGGTATCACCACACTCTGCTGCGGGGTCAGTTTATCCTGCTTATGGGGCTCTCCAGTCATCACCACTTCGGGTATACTTGGTGTATTATGATGTGTATCACCATTCTCTAGCAGTTTCTTTACATGAGATGCATTGCGTAGTATTGGGCTCCTCCTGGAGATTGTACGATCAAGCTCTTGCCATGCTTGTTTACCACAGTGTACGGACTTGGTTCAAAACGGGTTGTGAGCTTGTTTTTCCTCTCTTGTTGCACTAGTACTTGATCTCCAGGGAGTACCTCTGAGTACCTCGCATTTCTCTGCATACGCTTTGCTCTTACTCTTCTGTTAATTGTCCCTATCACGCACTTCTTATTCGACATATACATCGCTAAGCTCAGGGAGTTTGGTACGTATTTTCCGTCCGAAGAGCAACTCGGCAGAGGCTTACACCAGTCGTTGAGTGAGTTAGGCTTCTGTACGCTGCAAGATAAACATTCAACTCTTTCTTCCAGTCCTTCTTTTCAGCATGTGCGATTTGGAGCCTTTTCAGAAGTGAGCCATTTTGGCGCTCAACTTCTCCATTTGCCTGGGGCCATTTTTCTGTTACTCTGTGATGTCTGATTCCCTGCTGCTCCGTGTACTCTGTAAACTCTGTTGCTACGAACTGTGGTCCATTGTCAGATGTCAGGCTCTCAGGTAGACCATGTCTTGCAAATATCTCTTCTAGACTCGAGATGACTTTAAAGGTAACTGTGGATCTCATGATGTCTATCTGGTAGTAGCGACTATAATAGTGTAGTGGTGGCGACTATGGTAATACACGACGACCAGTATGGACTCACCAGTGGGGAGTGGTCCGAGCAAATCAAATGTCAAATCTCTCCATGGTCCATTCGACAATGCTGTGCTCCTGATAGGCTCTGGTGGGCTGGGACGGCTGACTAGCTGACATCCAAAGCAGGTTTTGCAGTGTTTTTCAGCATCCTTTTCCATCCCGGGCCACCACACTTTATTACGCAACTTCTGTTTGGTTCCAACGATGCCTAGGTGAGCTTAGTGAGCGAGGGACAACACCCTGGGTCTGAGTTTCTTTGGGATAACGATTCTTGTCCCTCTTAATATCAACTATTCCATGTTGCACAGTTCACTACTACATGGGAGGTATCTCTTGTGAGCTAGCTGATTCCACAGTTTTCTGTTTAAGCATTCCTTGACAGCACAGAGTTCCTCATCGATTGCTGAGGCCTTTTCCACTTCTCGTGCAGTCATAACACAGGGGGTCGCATTTATGGCTACAAATCTGACATATTCTTCAGCTTCAGCTAAGTGACTGCTGCTGGTTTTGAGATTTCCCACTAGCCTTGAGAGGAGGTCAGCAATGTCACTCGGTCCAGGCTCATACATCACCTTGAATTTGTATGGCTGCATTCGTAGCACCCATCTTTCAATGCGTGCACAGGGTTTTGACCTTCAGCCGTAGATAACTTCCGGCGGCTTGTGAATTGTAACAAGATCAAATGGCACACCATACACATAGGGATGGAACTTTTCGCAGGCCCATACGAGCGCCAGCGCCTCTTTCTCTGTCTGCGAATATCTTCTCTCGGTTTCTGTCACCATTCCTCTGCTTTTGGGTGAGTACCGCTCCCAGTCCAACTGGGCTGGCATCAGCAATTACAAGGGTTGGGGCATCTTTGTCTAAGTATCCCAAAGTCTCAGCACGAGCCAATTGACTTTGTCAGGCAACGTAAGGGCTCAGAGACCGTTGCCAGGTCGGGTATGAAGCGGCCACAGTAGTTTACAAGCCCAAGAAAACTTCGGGTTTCCGATACTGTTCGAGGTTCTCGCGCCTCTTTCACGGCTTTAACTTTTTCTTCTGTGCAGCTGAGCCCGTTCCCGGACAATACCATGCCAAAGAATGTGAGCTTATCCATGCTAAACTGGCACTTTTCTGCAATGGGGGTCAGTCCACGTTCCTTTAATCTCACAATGGCTTTCTCCAACTGCAGATCGTGTTCTTTCTGGTCTTTACCTTGTACGATGATCTCATCTGAAATGTTCTCTTGTCCCTCTATACCCGCAACTGCCGTCTGGATCTCGTAATGATACTGTTTGGAAGCAAAGTTAACACCAAACAATAGTCTCTTGTATCTGTAGCAAATGTAGTAATCTCTCGTGATTTTGGGGAAAGTTCAAGTTGGTGGTATCTCCACTTAAGGTCAAGTTTGGAGAATACCTTGCTGCCACTTATGCTCTGAGTAATCTCATCAACAGTAGGGATTGGGTGTCTGGCTCTCCGCCTCATTAACCCTTGGCATGTCAATGCAAAGACGTATGTCGCCCCCTGACTTTGGAACAACAACGATTGGATTAACCTATGGTGAGGGCCCTTGTGCAGGTTCAATAATGTCTAGTTCAATGAGTTCTTTAATCTTTTCTTCCAACTTTGATCTCATGCTAAATGGAGTCCTCCGCATCGGCTGTGCTACTGGCTTCACATCTGGGTCGATGTGGAGTTGTGCTGCTCTGTCTCTCTGTCTCTGTCAACTTTCCAACGCCGCTGAAAACATTTGGGTCTTCTTTTACAGGACTTCACCAATGGTATTTGGGCTTGCACTTACTGCAGCGATGCCTATTCCTATTTTCAGTACGCCTAGACTAGTTGCAGTGTCCTACCCTAGAAATGGGTCTCTTTCACCATTGATCACACAAAACATAGCACTAGCAGTGTTGCTTCCTGCAGAGACTTCACAGGAGAATGTTCTTATTACATCAAGTGGGATGCATAGGCATAGAGTTTCCTACTCGAGCGTGCTGATTCGCCCTTCACTTTGTTTTTCTTCAACCACTCCCATGTTTGCTTGTCAATGATGTTAGTGCTTGCTCCAGAATCTATGATCATGTTCAACTTACAACCGCCAACGTTTACTCCAATTTTCTCCTCATTCTTTTCCCCTACCGTAAAAGCATACACTGGTTCCTCTTCTTCGTGGTGGCAACCAACCATATTTGCAGCACTTCCCTTAGGTTCCTGTGGCCTTTGGTTTGCTTTTGCTTTTCTTCACCTTTCTACTTTGTCTTCAATGCTCTTGAAAATTTCCTTCCAGCCCACATCGATGACAGGATTGACCTCTTGCTGGACAGTTGGAATCTCGACCGAAATACTCGGTTCTACCACATCGATAACAAGTTTTCTTACGGCCGGTTTTGGTACCTCGTGACTGGTTTCTCTTGCCATGGCCTATTTTTGTTCCCTCTATTCGGTTTACACTAACTGAATTCTCTCCGTTTTCTTCTATGGTCATTGCAGCAAGCTGTGTGTCAACTTTCTCGCAGTTTTCGGCTATTTCAAGCGCTCTAGCTAAAGTGATACCTTGACGTCCTTCCAG